ATACGTTATTTCAATGATTTTGGTTTTTTTTGAGACACCCTGTAGTGTTTGCAAAATTACTTGAATAGAATTCCTAATTACGTTATGCTTGGTTAAGAATTCTATTCAAATCAGCAAACGAAAACATTCTCAGTACGTCTCAATTCATTTGAGAAGCATATAAACCATAGATATCTTATATACACTAGATAGTGCATCTAATTATTCTGCAATTCAAAAATTGAAGCCGTGATTGCAGTCTCAGGTCGTTCCCATGAAATGAGAAGATTCTTATGTTTTCTATTTCTTAAACAGGGAACATAAACATCAAGTTAACCCTATTCCAAATACGTTTTTAAACTATTCAAAAGACGAAAGTTATTGTTGTTTTTAAGTGTTTATTAGCAAGTGGGAACGACCAACATGGCCGCCATCTATTCAAATGGGGGTAACCGCTGGAATATTCTTGGCTTCAATTTTACTAAAAGAGATGCGCTATCTAGTGTATATAAGATATCTATGATATAAACAACTCGAGCTCGTGTCTCACCGGGATATCCAAACACTCGAAAACAAAAACACTTTTCTCGTGTTTGGATATCCTGGTGAAACACTCGCTCTCGTTGTTCATATATTACTTCCAAAACTCGCTACAAGAGGTGAGGTTCATGAATAATTCATTATCTCGGAATTTTTAAAGTCAAAGATTTAGCCGGTATTTCGATCATTTAGTTCATACTGAACCTATTATTCATTATTCGATTAAAGATCACATATAACACGAGGCAATTTTTCCTGCAACGTGCAATGCAATAGCCTCCTGCGCAGACGTTGCAGTCATCGTTTGATTAGCTCGCAAATATCAACTATATGATGTAAAACAGCCGAAGTCGAAACGGCACGGAAAAGAACACATTGAATGTGGTAAATATGAAGAAGCAAAGAAGAACATCCCCCCGCCCCCTGCTGAAAGTAGACCCTCCCCCCGAGGCGCGCTATGCGTGCTCACATTTCACGTGTTGACCCTGTCGACTGTCGTCCTCGACTAGTGCAAGTTGTGCAACCATGGCTAGGCTTGTAGCGCGCGCAATTTCAGTGAAAGACTTGATAGCCAACACCGCAGAACATGAAGAAGGCAAGGAGAAAGAAAAGCTGAACATGGACTGTTATGTCTCAATGAAATTTAGAGGTATGCGTCCGCGTGATGATGAAATACAGCCGCCTAGTTCTTGTGCGCAAAGACGATTATAATATAGCCCATGGCAGCTGCATTCCATCACAGTTGCATATTACTCCACGCGTTTTAGTCCCCGAAATTTTTTTTGTTTAAATATTGCCGTGATCAATCGCTTAAGCCTGGTTACCATATGGTCGTAAAGATTGAGTCACGATCTTTCTCATCAGCCGAAATTCAACATTTAGAACTGAAAATACGCGGAGTGATTATAACTAGACTACGGAATACTTATGATTTATATGTGGTTTACATGCAGGTATGAACTATTCTAAACTGGTCGTTGAGAAAGATCGTGACTCTATTTTTACAACCATTACGACCATGTGAAAACCAGGCTATATATGTTGATGTATCTCTGGCGTAGAGTTTACGTGGAAGGCAACCCTGGGGAAATAAAATTGCGCCTTCAATTTAAAGCACTAGACAGATGATAATCCGATCCAATTATTTCGGAACAGGGTACCTGCGCGGATGTTGTATACCGGTGGTACCAACCGGCCAACACAGAAAAGCGCATTCTCTTGTCTTTATAATATAAACAAGACTTCAATACAGAATAGCATGTCGTACTGGCAAGGGAATAGCTGAGGGCTACATATGCATGTAGACGATAATTCACGACGTCTGCGCCCGGTTCATATACGCCATTATACGATACATGTCTTAACACCAGTCTATATATATACATAAAACGCGCGTCGTATTTTTTGTGCAGAATAAATGCGTAAATAAATACATAAATGCGAATAGCATGTGGTAGTACAGCACAAATTAAACCGGCGACAAGATTGTATCGGAAAAAGTATCATCTGAGAAAACAGGCAGAATGCGACATGTGTGGTAGCATATACATCGAAAACCAGAAATGCAAATGCAGTTGATAACTCTTGCTGCAGCAGATAAATTTTGTTTAGCAAAAGGTTGCTATCCATGAAGTCAGGGCCGCTTTTATTTTTTTATTTTATTTTTTGGGGAAATACGCCGTGGT